ATGTACTATATTTAAGGACTTCTGTGTTTTTTCTCAATCGATGTTTACTGTGTAAAAGTCTCGAAATAAAAATGAACAGACGTGAGAAATGCATCAAAGGTTGGTGTTTTTTACAACAATTGTGAGTATCCTCGGTGTAATATTGGACTGCTGTATCCTTGTATCCTGTTGGACGCACAGAGAATTGGGGTTCAGCCATTTCGCCTCATTCGCGGAATATTAGATTGGCTCTAATAACGAACTGTTTCTAGCGATAGGAGAGATGTCTGAGATTGAAGCTGTTTTAGAAATAACAATCAAAATATTTCTAAAAGTTCAAAAAACTGTTAGCATGGTTTTTATGACAATTAGCGAATGTTTACAAATAAAATTGCTCTCTACTTATGCTAAGCTCAATCTCGAAGCAATCTGAGATGAATGATTCACGTTGGTTGCATTATGTTTCCGAAGAGAAAGGTGGGGAAAACATGGTGAAATCTATATTTTAATTACCTTAAGAAACACTTCATCTTCTCGAGAGATCTTCTCGTATCAAAAGTAAAAAAAAAATATACTTTAAAAGATAACATCGTCGTCATCATCACCACAAAGAGAAAATCAGCTTTCATCATGCTTTTGAAGAGAAAGCCGGATAACGCATGATGAAAGTAAAAGCACTCATATTTCTACCATCGGAATCAGACCTCGAGGACATTTCGAAGAAGCAGAGCTTTTTTAAGAGGGCGTGCAGTTGACTACGTAGGATGATAAGATCGCTCTTCCATCACTTGTCTTGGCGGAGAAACAGAACCTTTATTTTTGCTCTCATATTTTTTAGACGCTGAATTTTCAATCGAGTGAACTCTAGAAAACCGTCCAGGACTCAGAAATAAAAGTCGTAGAAGGGTCAAAATTTGGATTCATAGGTTTTCACGCATACTGAACAAGATGGAACTAGTTAGAAGCAAATCGGAGACATTGATTGAGCATGACTTGTTGTTTCTCTCATGCAATGACTGACTCTTAGATAATTCTCAGGTAATTCTGTAATTCAGGTTTAAAAACAAGATCGCTGTGCCATACAGAATCAAATGCTCGAGAAAGGTCAAGAAAAATTTCCCGCATAAAGCCCACTTCTTCTAAACCTTCATGAATGTAATGTATTAGGCTTAGTAGTTGATTTACGCAAGAATCGGGTTTCACGAAACCAGATTGATGAGCAGAAATAAGTTTGTTGGAAAAGCGATAATTATAAAGATAAGTGGAAATTACTCTTTCCATTATTTTACCTATGATCGGTAACAGTGTAACGGGTCGATAATTTTCTACTTCATGTGGGTTATCTGTCTTGAAAATTGGGGTAATGTTGCTTATTTTCAAAACATCACAAAAAACAGAAAGTTTTAACTAGAATTCATGAGATCACAGATGATAGGTACTAGTACGGGTGTAGCTTCTTTGGTTATTCTTGCAGTTACACCCTCAGCAACTGCCCTATTTAGCTCGATTTTATTCATGACTTTCACTGCAGGTGAAACGATTACAGATGACATTCTAACTGCAGTTGTAAAATGGAAAGGTGGAAAGATTATTTATTTGGGATCGAGACATAATACAGGTAGAAGCAAAATAGTTATTAAATAGCTTCGCCGTTTCTTGTCTTATTTCTGCATAAGGTCTTATTTACTAGTGCCCATCAAGCTTTGCTTGAGGATAGTATTGCTTATTGTTCTATAAGGAACTAACTAAGGAAAATGTAAATAGTTGATTGTCGTTCTAGAAACTTTGTTTCGTTTGAAAGTCTAGGGTGAAGTACTGAAACCACTTTTTTTAGGACATAACTCTGATCAAACACTGTCCATAGCTTTATTTTCATTTTGCGCTTGTTCCTTATTTGTTCCATTTAAGGTTGATGAATGTTTTGTACATATTAACTAACGAAGAGAGATGGAAAACAAAAAAACAAAAAACAGTGCTACTTAAATATCATGCCACCTTTACGCGGGTAAGTAGATAAGTATCTGCAATAAGCTACCGCATATAGAAAAATATCATCCTACGCTGAAATACATCTGTAGTCTATAGCCAAGAAACCAAGAGCGTTATAATACTCTATTTAGATTCATTTTTACTCTTTTTGGCTGGTTATATCTCAGATTTGACTGAACGACACATATACCTGTGACGAAATTCACTGCATTCTGTACCACACATTATGCACATGTATGTTAAGAAAGAAAATACGAGGTATATAACTTTTAAGAAGGTGTGCATTTAAAGTACAAATAATTCTCTACAAGAAAGTGAAAATTTCAAGTGTAGTTGTTATAGCAATTCTACCAAAGACGTGCTAAAACAGAATGAAGATGAAACTTTCTGACACTGTTTTACCCACTGTATTTTTTGCCAGAAAACTTCACTTTTCAATCAACAGATTGACATACGTGTACACTGCAGAGCAGAGTTACGAATCATATTTAACAGCGGCTTTTTGTTTATTTAATTATTCATCTCTCACCTGAGTTATGTGATTTTGTTTCTCTACTTATATTTTTTTGTTATTTTGTCAAAACTTCTGTTTCACCTTGAAAAAATGTTGCTAGCTATCGTTATAGTAGTCCACTTGGTAGGTAAAACTGAATCATGGGGTGCTGTTGGTCATTCGCTCGTGGCACAAATCGCTCAAACATTTTTAACTGATTCAACCGATACTTTTGCCAAAGACCTTTTGCCATGGTTTGTGTATGGAAATTTAAGTAGTCTTTCATCGTGGCCGGATAACATTTTATATGAAAATACAAATCCTGTTGAGTATGTCAATTGGGCGTGGTCGCGTGAACTTCATTACGTCAATACACCAGACTGGTTATGCCACTACGTTCCAGTAAGAGACTGTGTCGCCGAAAAGTGTATCGATGGTTCAATACAAAATTATACGAGAAGACTAGCTGATACAAGGTTGGATTTTGTGCAAAGACAAGAAGCACTGCAGTTTTTAGTCCATTTTTTGGGCGATATACATCAACCATTGCATGCTGGATTTTCATCGGATCGTGGTGGAAATGATTTAACAGGTAAATGTTAGAAGAAAAGAAAGGAATCTGATGTATTTGAAGGACGAGTTTTTCATATATTTTCTCTATCCTAGGTTACTTTTTTAACGATTTCATCAATCTACATTCATTATGGGATACTGGAATGATCAATAGACGTTTGTTATTGGATTTCAATAAAAGTGCTGAAGTCTATTTGAAATATTTAGTCGATTTAACCTACCACAAGTATGCAGACAACATTACTCAATGGTCAACATGTCCTACATCTGATCAGTCACAATTTTCTGCATGTTCAACTACGTGGATACAAGAAGATAATGATTTAAATTGTAACACAGTTTATATCGATGAAGATGGTAATCATTTAAATAACTTAACAAAGTTTCATCTAAACAACGTATACTTTAATCGTGTTCTGCCAATCATGGAGCAACGACTGATTCAAGCGGGTGTGAGACTGGGTAAAATGTTGATTTTGATAGAAGACTATGTTCGGACCCATAAATATGCAGATAAAACACGACTGTGTGGCGGTACAATTGCATTGATCATTATTTTAGTATTGGAAGGAATTATAGCGCTATTAATTGTCTGTTGTTGGGTTTGTCGCAGAAATGCTGGACAAAAGTACGATCAACTGACATAAAATATAACTCAAGAATCATGATTGTACATATCTTCACTGGAGTTATTTCCAATAAAGAGGCGTATAGTCCCCGTCATAGAGTTACTGCGACTGACAAGTTTGCGAATGTGCATCTTTGATACTGATAACTACAAACTCTTTTCTTGTTTGATTACCACTTTCCTTCTGTGTTTCTCTACAACTATACAATTCAGTTCTCTTCCACAGATTGCAGTTCATTCTTCTGGAATGAACATTTCATATTTGATATTAAGCTAACTGCTAGAATATTGGTTGCAATGACTACTGTATGCAGAAGAATTCTATAACTTTGCCCATACAACTATCCACGGCACTTTCCATTGTTTGCCCTCAGCTTTCCAGAAATCCTCTTAGAAAACTGCGGTACAGAAACACGAAGAAGCCTCAGAAAACGCTAAAGTACATTGAATTCTTAATGTTGAAAAGGAATATAGAGTCATAATAGCTCAATGTTCTTTTCATGAAGTACGGTTTTAACGGGTTTTCTGGAAAACTGAGGGTGAAAAATAGAAAGTGTCGAGGATAGTTTTATGGCAAAGTGATAGATCCTACTAAGTAGTTCCAACCCTAAAAAAATCTCGAAAAATTTTCGGATCGTTTAGGAGAAAATCGAGGTCAAACTTCAGGAATTTTTCAAGTAAATGGAGTATCACTTGAACATAAAGTTAGATCGAGGCGAAATTCCTTCACCATTCGAATCAACTCGTCAACAGCCAAAGACTTGAGGTGTCTAGAAAACCACTTTCCACACGTTTTCTCAAAAAAGAGTAAGCGAGACTTTTAGGTTATTTTTGATGCTCTACACGATGGGCAAAGTGAAGTTTTCGCGGCAAGGCGCTCTGTATAAAGTGGGCGGACCTGTGTGGAAGCACCCTGAATCATTATTACCATTGTACTATTTCAACTAAAGAAAGCCCCTGATGTCACGAACGTGCCAGAAGGAATGAACTCGGAATATTTTTCATTTTCTCCTTTCAATCAAGTGATCTCACATTTTAACTAGGAGAGTGTCATTCAGTTCTTTTCATGAACATATCGCAACAAGCGGAAAACAGAGTGTACGCAGATGAAGTGCCCCAAGCAAAGGAAAAAATCGATAAGGTAGTTCAACCTAGGTAAAGTGGTACATTTAGCTAGCTCAAGCTAGCTACTATCTAGCTGGAGCTAGCTAAATGTACCACTTTACCTAGGTTGAGCTAGCTTATCGATTTTTTCTTTCGCTTGGGCGATTCTGTCCATTTAGTTTCCCATGTGCTTCTTGTTTCGAGCTGAATGTTAGGCAATAGTATAGGTTTTCGTTTAAATGTTTAAGCGGCGCTTTTTTGTATATTTATGAAACGTTGTATCTACCTTCGCGATTCGTATCAAAAAATTTCAGACTGCAAATTTCATTCAATCAGGTGCTGCAGAGAACATCTCAATGGTTTTACAAGTCTATTCTGAAAGAATGAACGTGTTACAAAAATTACCTTTCGCTTTTTCTGTGAATCTTGATTTATTTTCTTCTTCACGCGTATTATTCTTTGAGAATCTCATTTTTCTATAGAGTAAATAATCGAAGATAAGGAAGACGAACGTGTTGAAAAAAAAAAAGTGATAGAGAGAGAGGATAAAAACAGGCTTACAACAGTCCACTTTTTCATTTCCATCGCAACCACCTTGTACACCTTGCGACGCTCTTCGTTGGTTGAATGGTTTCTTTTTGTTGCTGTTGTTGCTTTATTAAATATGAAAAGAATTTCTTTTTTGTAACGGTATTTTTTTAATCTACTACTCACCAACTTTCTGAAGGCGAAGCATCTTGAATGTTTTCCTTTTAATTGAAAAATCGAAGAGTTGGAATCAGGTTTCAGCCAACGACTTCTCCAAAACAAGGTTTCTGTAGCTCTTTGGGTCCTGTGTGATAATAAACGTAGATCTGCTGATATGATTTCTGATACCGAGAGTGATCGCTTTCCCTTTTCGGAATATCGAGCTGCTCGTCTGCTAATCGAACTCACATGCGCTATCTTAATTTGATCGAGGTTTCAGCCGGTAATGACTACGTCGCGCTTCTTGTCGCTCCACTACGCCACCACTTTTTGAGGAGCTGGAACCATTCTTCAATCATCACATATTGGAAGTTATTCCACACAAGCGATAAAAACCTATGTTACCACAGAAAATCACAAGAACGGGTTTAAAAGATCCATGCACTACCTTGTGTTCAATCAGTCTATAAACGTGTGACAGCGTCGCGCTCCTTGTAGCTTCACTCCTTGTCGCTTCACTTGATTTATCGGCCATGGTTCGAAAGTCATTTTCTTTTTCTCCTTACGTATTGCAATGCTTGTAGAAAAGGGTCAATCCAAGTCCGTTACATATAGATCTGAATTTACTTTTCAGACAGGTTTTTGAACCAACAGAACCGTCAGAAATGCTCAGGTAGAAACAGTGAGAAGGGAGATGGACAATGGTCTCATGGGGTGAGCTCATGTTTCTCGAAAAAACAAACTAAAAACAGTTTATTGCCGATGCTCCTAAAATGACCGTATATGATCATTCCGTCTCAAGGTCGAGCTCGCGCGTCAACGTCAGTTTGTCAAGGACTCAGAAAACTAATCAGAAACTGCCATTTTAGTATCCTAGGCCACGTAGACGTCGAATGGAGAGACGAAGAGGACGAGCTACTGTTCGATCGTGTATGTAAAACCGATTTTGCCCGACTACGCATTTTTGTGTTATTATATTTGATGGGTGGAGAAGTAGCTCTCACTGCGAGAGCAGTGGTCTTCGATCTCGTAATAATACCCAATTAAAACAAGATTACAGCAATACTTTGAGACAAAGACAGAGAGAGGTCTTTCAACAGGGAGGCATTCAGAGAGTAACGAACACCTACACACACACTTTCTTTTTTTTCCACGAACAAAGGCATCTTATGACCGTTACGTGAACCAGAAAACCAATTTATTGTGTTATGCGGATCATCGTCCCAGCCAATCATGTTTGAGATGTCAGCCTCAACACAACTGAGGAATATCTGTTTTAAGTTACTTACGCCAAATATCTGTAAGGTGTATCACTTACTCCTGTACTCTGTACTACTTTAAAAACTTTAACTGACGATCTTTCTTTGCAAAGTTAGGAAATTTACACGAAAAGCCCTAAATGTTTATTGTCACCTCAGAGCTACAGAAAGAAGAAGGAAAGATGAATTTAGGCTTTTCGTGTAAATTCCATAACTTTGCAAAGAAAGATCGTGTAGAGCTGGGATATGTCTCATTTTAATAAGAATTTCGCGGGCTACAGTTATGACTTAATCAGACAATTCTTGGGGATTTTTCGAGGTTTCTGGAAAACTGGTTTTCCAGAAACCGATTAGGAAAGGCCTATTAGCCAAAACGGCTATCATATTCGGAATCAGCATGATCGATTACCTATAAGCTACCGCATTTCGTTAGAAAAGCGATTTGACAGTTGGATATGTTCCCTCGTGAGTGTAGAAGGAGACCTCGCTACTCAACGACATAGGATATACTCTATGAATGCGTCCTTTTGTATCTTAAAAACAGACATCGAAACTCGTTCCAAACATCCCTCACTTTTTGTTACGAATATCCGATCTTTTTCTGTTACGAACATTCGTACTTTTCATTTCGGAACACCCCAACGACTTCCATCCCGAACATTCGGAAAAACGATTTTGTGCTATATAGACTCGATTCCGAGCATCCCGTCACTTGGTCGGATGTCCGGAAAACCAAGGACGAAAAAGGACAGCCCACTTGTAATTGATCGGTACAGATTTAATCCTCCCCATTGTGCGAAGCAGCTTTCTACTTTTTCATAAACTCAACAAACTTACTAACATGTTGATTTTTTTAATATTAGATAAACTCATAGAAACACCACTTACTTTTGATGGATTACCTTAACGTGACTTTTTGTGCGGAACTCTGTGACTTTAGCGGGTGTCCCAAAAATCCGACGAGAAAAAATGTTTAATAACTCCGCCATTTCTTAGCCAAGCTTTAAGGTTGTGTTTTTGTTTGATAGAGAAACGTTACAAGTTTTATTTCGTACGATTGGAAACTCTTGTTAATGTTTGAAAAGATGTTTGGGTTTATTATAGTGAAATTCAGATAGTTTGGGACTCGTTTTGAATAAATTATGTGCTGCAAAACTTTTTGAAAAGAACATAAATAATTTTTAATATTAAAATAAAGTAGATGATGATGGCTTTCACATAATGAAATAAGAATTTGCTTTTGTTTAAAAAGGACCGGTTGGTATGGATTTCTTCAGCCATTATTATTCCATACGAACATCTGGAAAAGTGCAAAAAAGTAATAAAAACATTTTTCAGATAAAGTTAACTAATAAAAGGAAAAACTACTAGTGGAATTCTATAGAAAGAAGGTAGCCTTATAAACTGGAATAGTTTGAAAGCCTGTAAAAGGTTGTATGAGGTTATTGCAGAAGTCGCAATCTCTAGATCATGCTAATATGGAGAAATAAACTTCTTGTGGCAAAACTTTAAGCTGGACAAAACATTTGAATATGTGGGATTGTAGAGCAACCTGAGTTCTACAAAATGAGACATAATGCGACTCCGACAAAGATTCCATTTAATTATGACAAACTCAACAATCTTCACGCACTATTACAAGTACTTAAACAGAAAACATATGTTGTAAGTTTTATTATTTTTCCATACTGATCCTGTTTTACACAAAAATGTCCAGTCGTATGAAATAAAGCTTGCAGCGTTTCTCTATCAAACAAAAGACGACCTTGAAGTTTGATTAAGAAATGGCGGACTTATTAAGATTTTTTTTCTCGCCGGACTTTTGGGACACCCGGCAGTTATGTTATGTGTAGAAAGCCATTTTCATCAGACCTTCAGTTTGTTAAAATAAAATAAAATAAAATAAAAGAATTTGAGTAGCTGGTCATGGTTGTCAAAATGTAAGTGCCAGGAAGGAGTTGTGACAGAACGAAGATTCAAACAGTTTTTCCGCAGATATTCTACGATTGTGTCTACCCAATGACAACGATTCAAATTAAACGATTAATTAGAAGAAAGTCAACAGTTACAACGTCCATCTTTTCTTGAACAAAACTGTTCGAACAATGGTCAATCATAGTCATTTTCTCAATTAAACTCGAGAAATGTTGCAATTGATCTTTCAATACACATATTCGTCTCTTCCCTCGACGGTTATTTTCCCTTTTTCTTCTACTGTTATATGTATTCACTCTTCTGCTTTTGTATGACATATGTTTTCTGTTTCTGTTCACTCTTTCCCAGAGGTATTTTTCATTCCTTTTCTTCTCTCTCTCTCTCTCTGAAATATACCATATATAGTTGTACTGAAATAAAGTGTGTGTAACAGTTACATTCGTTCAAATACTTTTATGAAAACCGTGTATAATGTCTATGTTTTTCTCTTTATTTACCATCTCTTATTGTATTCTATTTTACAGAAGAAAAAAGCAGCATACTAAACATATGAAAGAACAAACATACATACCAAAATAACATAAAAAATCATCTGACAAAGACAACGCCTGAGAGTGATATATAGAAAATAAAACACAGGAAAAGTAACGAAATTCTAATAAAGCAAACTATTTCAGAATAGCCGCAAATACGGGTGACACTTTCTCTTTCCTACCTCTTTTTTTTATTCATTGATTTGTGACAAAGCTGAAACTGACAAAGCTGATTTGTGAGTGATAAGGAATTCTCGTTTTATAGTTTTTATACATACAGGTTGATCTTTGTTATAGTTTATGCGACGTAAAGTTATTGAAAATTGCTCTTGTGGAAAGGAACAACATCGTTCAAATTAGGCGTCCTCACAGAACTCTTAGTAGAATTTTACCGGAAAATTTTCATTAATGCTACAGAACCGCCAGAACAAAAACGGCCATTTTCAGTCAAAAAGTTTTTCCTTACAAAAACTTCGTTAATGACTAGCCATATGTAGTAGAGACGAAGAACCATAACCTCTCACGCTTTCCCGTTCAGTCTTCGGATTCGAGCATTGCTACTCTGCCACCTGCATGAAGATCTTGGCTTATGAAGGTAATTTAAGTACTCTGTTGATCGCTAGTTTTTGTCTGGATATTTCTCATTCTGGTATTGTATAGATACTTTGACGTCTCTGTTTTTCTCAGCTTTCGTCTTGGTTATGTATGATAACATACACATCTCCAACTTTACTCCAATTAATATCAATTATTCATCCAAAAAATTCAGTAGTATGCCGAAATCGTGCTGAGCTAATCTTTGAGTTGGGCCCATATGTCAAATCAAGACGCTTTATCTAGCTGAATGAATGTCAAAATGCGAGTTAGCAGTGTAGCTTCTAAACGGAAAAGGTCTAAATTAGAATAGATTGAACAACTACCTTTAGACTTTCTTCAAGAATAGGTCAGCCTAGCCGCGGGTGGAGGGAGCAGTTTGACGGTGAGTCACCATACTCAAAGTCTACGTTGAGCACTTTTGGATGTTGTAGATGTTAGAGTGGTGATCGACGGTTTTGAACTTTTAGACTTTTAGGATGTGCTACATATCATTTAACATTCATCGCCGTTCCTCAACTTGAACTTCTTGTATGGTGACTCAATCCCATACTGCCGGCCCCCGTCCCCTCCAGCTGGTCTGACGTTTTCTAGAAGAAAGTCTAAAAGTCTAAAAAGTCTAATTTGCCGTTTACCACCATAACATCTACAACATCCAAAATTACCACTATCGCACCTTCCCCATATATTCCTATTATGCGACTCATTCAAAACTGGTCGAAAAGGATGACTTGGGTAGTGACATGTTCAGATTTTAGAAAGTACTCATTGCTTTTTGAAACATTACTAATATATGTCGTCGATAACATCGTTATTATTGAAGGGCAACAATAGAAATGAAAACGTTAGTGTAATTGCTGCTGAAATACCCTTAAATGGATTTAACATGCTTAAGAGTTTACTAATAAACTCTTAATAGAGTAAGTTACTAGTACGATATAAATACCAAATCAAAATCTATAGCTTCCTCTCAATTGTTTCTAGAGAAGAAAAAGGTTAGTTTCAAAGTTCAATTAAAAAACAATCAATGTTCTCTAAAATCTCAATGTATAGACCAGTATAAATCAAGATGAAATGTGTTTATGCATGTAATGGCCTAAATCTGTTAAGAAGTTACACTATGGTAGCAGAAAATAATATCTAATTTCAATACTGTTTCTCTAAATGTCTCGAAAAACAATAAATGTTTTACAAAAGATCTGTAAGAACAAGCATATCAATATTCTACTGGATATCCTACCGTTCAGTTTGACACTTAATTTTTTCTCAACTTTTTAAGACAATGAGTTCTTATTCCCGTAGATGGAACTATTTTTACTAACTGTAGGTCTGAAGAATAAGTACATCAAAATGATTTTATTTTTGTTAAATATCTGCCAATGCATTAGTTGTACTAAGTGTTGGAATTTGATCTTTGTCAATTGTTCGTCGTCTCGGTAAACTGTATTTCGGATGATTTAATGTCCACATACATTGAGAAAGAATAATTGGTCCCAAATGAAAGTAATAAAACCACACCTCGTTTTGGCTCAAAACATTCCATTTCTCTGGTATTGAAAATACCACAAGATAAATAGCCACACATAGAGCTAATAAACTATTGATCGAGAGTAGTAGAATTGACCTTGTGAAACTCCACATATAGGACTTTTTCGATGACAAATAACATCGTTTATAAACGTAGAACCAAAGGACGTAGAAACTAACAGCTTTACATAAAATAATTGCGCACGATATTTGACGAAAATGAACGCTCATGGCGAGTTTTTCAGAATTGAACGATAGGCTGTTAGCTGGCACGAGCAGCACACCGGAGATAATAACAAATAGAATAACCACAGTAGAAACAATGCGAGGAAGTTTTGTCGATGATTTGAATAACAAAATCCATTCGACAAGGAATAAATAGTTTGAAACAATGAGTAAACGTTGTCCTACGGCGAGTAGACTTGTTGATGCACTATATGCTCTTTGTGTATTTCGAACTGTGTCTGATAAAACAGCGCGTAGAATAGAATCGATTAATATCGTCAAATGTGAGATAGTGACAATGATAATGAGTCGAGTAGGTTTAAATTTTGCTTGAATTGATTGGACAATCCATCCAATTAATGACAGACCGATAATGACAGCAAAAGCAATTGGTCCTGGTATATTCGGCAAGTATGAATAGAATGGATATGATTTCAAAAGAAACATGTTTTTCTTTTAACAGTCTGCCTCTCAAAAACAGAACATCAGAAGAACAAGAATAAAAGATAGCTAGTTACTATTATATAGTTTGTTAATAGAATGGAGAAAAGAAAGATAAATCTATAAAAACACCATACCAATAACATTTATTTATCTATTTATATTAATAGTATACTTTTTTCAGTTGAATTTTGTATTCTATTCTGTTTTGTGCATTTTTTTACGAGTATGTCCTTTGTAGGCCTTATCGTCGTAAGACACTTTTTGATGCTATTTCATTTTATTTCTTATTTGAAATTCTTTTTGACTGTCGTGGATGTCTCTTGAGAGGTAAAGTGTTTAAAATACTCTCCATTTTTTGCTCTCACATAAACGTTTGCATTTTCTTTTGTTAATTTTTCTCTTTTCTATCTGAATGATTTTCCCATGTCTCAAGTTCAAGAGGAGAAAATTCTTCTTGTAACTTTATTGAACTTTAAAACATATTTGAAACGATGCTTTTATAAGAAAAAAAGTATTTTCAAAAGGAATAGCTGTTCAGTTTGTGAGGAATGACTTTTTATGCCTTGTGTGAGAAACGAAAAGCCACATAAATTCAGGTTCAATTTATCATGTGTTCATGCGGTTGACAATAGGAATGGCACTTTCCCGTTCCTCTCCAGAGTAAGGGTAAAGATATAATGCATATCTTTTCTTTCCTAAGAAAAAGGAAAGTGGTGCATTTTCTTTTTGCTAGAAAACACTTTCCTAAAACGTGCAAAGAAAAGTCTTTTTCTTGCAAAGAGAAAAGATATCGCTTTTCTTTTTTATGGAAAATAAAATGTGCCACTTTCCTTTTTCTTAAGAAGAAAAAGATATTCATTAGAATTGCGACAAATAGCGTTTTTTCTTTTCTATTTTGTTTTCTTATTCACGTTATATATAGTGTGTGCTCACATTATGATGTGCGTTAAATATATATAAGATATACATTAAGAATATGTATGTGGTGTCACGCTTTCTTCATGTCTGTTCGGTTTTGCTGTGCTGTACTCTTCGACTGATATGAAGGAAAAAGAATGAAGAAAACGTGACATCACAGACAACAGTCTTAATATATATCTTATATATATTTAACGCACATTATAATGTGAGCACACACTATATATAACGTGAATAAGAAAACAAAATAGAAAAGAAAAAAACAAAACAAAATCTCTATTTGTCGCAGTTGTTGTAAAGAAAAAGAAAAACTTTTCTTTTGTTAATAAAGACAAGAGAGAGGAAAGAGAAAGTGCCACCCATAGTTGACTGACAATGACAGTGAAAGAGACAAAAAGTTAACCGAAACTTTCACTAAATCATACCATAATGAAAACAACAAAAAAGAAAGAGAAAAATAGAAAAGAAATTGATTTTTAACAATGGAACAGTAAGGACATAGAACATTTTGGCTTAAGAAGTTACAATATTTATTCTGAAAATAAATACTTATTCAGTGCGCGCCCAAAAGCTCATGCAAAGAAGGCAGCGCTAATCTCTCTGGGTCAAAGCAACAAACACAGAGGACGCCAAAGAAAGTGAAAACGGCGCTGGCTCAGTAAATATTGTCTTCTTTTTGAATAAATTCAAAAGAAATTAGTAATACCGGTTCAGATGTGACGTTGTGGAAACACACAGCTTATAAGCATTCGCGAGTTTCACAAAGGAAAACCGTAGCAAGGTATTTTGCACACGGAAATTAACGATTCGTGCTCATCTCGGTTAACTACCGTTCCCAAATAAATAACCACGCCAAAATCAGTAAAAGGTTCTTTCGGGCACGGGAAATGACAAACCGTGCCCGAAACGGCTAATTTCCGTGCCCAGAAAATCTTCATCCAGGATATTGATTCGGAAGTTGAAATTGGAAAACGGCATATAGAAACCTTTTTCTGTGTTTCAGTCAATCTCATTACTGACATACCAGCCTGGCATAATATCTAAAAACTTTTGAGTTTCTATGAGATCTTTGAAATTTTGGAGAGGAAGCATACCAAAAGTATCATCGGCAAACAACGATGCTGGTATCGTAGAAGGAAATGTCTAACTGAGATCATTAATAAATATTAAAAAAGAAGTGGTTCGAGTATGCTGACTTGTGCCACGCCAGAAGTAACACTAGCTGCTTTAGATTTTTTATTATTAATCGTCACCATTTGCTCTTTATCTGACAAGTATGATTTAAATCCTTCAAAAAGATTACCGACAACTCGTGCTCGATCCAGCTTTTCAAGTAAAATTCTATAATTAACACGAACAAAGATCCGAGCAAAATAGAGCGCAACGCTTAGTGCTACTTTTTTCTGTTCTAAAATGTTCGCAAGTTCAATAGTAACATGCAATAAAGCGTCAGCGGTAGCGGAATTAGGGCGGAAATCAAATTGCATTCCAGTGAAAAAAGAAGTTCCTTTCAAATGGTTTAGTAGAGATTTGTGTACCAATAACTCAAAACTTTGCTTATGTCTGAGAAAAGAGAAATTAGTCTATAATTAGAACATTACTAGTCTGGAGAGGATGAATATCTAGAAAGAATGAACATCTAGAGAGAATGAAAGAAAGTTTGTGTGTATGCGAAGGATAAATAGATACAACGTACATATACACATGCACATAGATTGATATATATGTCGTATACAACAAGTTAACCAAGATGTTAAAGTTCTAACACCCCTCGAGAACTGTGATTTAACGTTACAAAAGCGCTGTTGTTTATCTTTACATAATGCATTCAAAACTTTATCTCGTAACTTTTTATATTCTATAGTTTTTAACAATGTCTGATCAAAAGAGAAAAGTTAACAAAAGAACGTGAACAAAGGTCATCAACATCTCATATGTCTTCAGTCATATTTTGTGATTTGTGACAAAAAGTTAGACTTAATACAAGCAGATAGCAAAAATAAAGGAGGAAAAAAATATTTAACATTATTCATCAACGATTTGTTATCGTCTTGTGAATAGAAAAGAGAAGAAAAGTACAAAAAATCATGAACTGCATAAACATTTTAAAAATTGTACGGATATAAATATTATACAAGCCACAGTATATTCTGAAGTCAGCTATCGAACTGAATCATGTATATGAGAAGAAAATACAATTTCTTAGAGATAACGGTAAGAAAGAGAAAAAGTAGTGATGCAAGTCAAAAGCTTTTTTCAGCTCGAAATAGAAAACATTAATGGCTATGACTGGAAGTTAGAATTCTATTCCCATGACTTTTCCGTTACCGTTTTACCATACCATTACCATCGAAGTAAATTTTTTTACCATTACCATCGGGAAGAATGTTTTACCATTTACCAATGGTAATGATACTAAAATTCCCACAGTAATGTAATATATTCGTACAGAAAGGAAAGAAAAGAATTAAACATATGCATAAAGAAGAAAACAAAGAATATGTAGAATCATGGACTAGCCTGAATGTCATATAACGTTTGACTATATTATATACACTAAAGTGATATATGATTCCACTTATAATGAAGACATGGTATGATTATGAACTGGAATCTGAAAAATGTACGTTACCATTACCATGGATTTAACTTTTAGTCCCCATTTACCCAGGGTTTCCAGTAGAAATCTAGAACAAAATGTACTTGTACACTTTGCTTATGTGGGCAAAGCGTACGTTTACACTTTGTTTTTGCCACCAAAATGTGCACTGAAACCAATTTTTTCAATCCGAAACACAAAAAATAGTTCTGATTCTTTTCATGTGTAATGTAAATTAATATTTGTTAAACAAATAAGTGATAAATAGGCGTACTATTTCATAATCTGACACGTTCATTTACAAAAAGAATGAGAGAAAAAAGTGAGAGTAGTGAGAGTTTGTACAACAAACATGACTTTAATTGAGTTTTATCCATAGAAGAAAATAGAATCGATTTAGTCTGACAACTAATATCGAGAAGAGAATCAAAAGTAGCAGATGTACAGTACATCTTGCTGTTGCTTGGTACACCTGCTATTGGAAACTCTGCCATTTACCTACTATTACCAGGTATTAAAATTCTTTTTTTACCAATACTACGGTAATGGTAAGGTAATGTAATTTTTTTGTTACTGCAGGACTCTACTGAAAGTATGTATTACGTACTTTCAGTTAGAGTTTCAGTATTGGAATAAGTGGCTGTTCCGCTTTTCTCAATGAATACACATCATCTATTTTATTTGATAAACGAAAGTCACATAAGAAAACATTACTAGTTATTTTATTTATCAAAAGCTGCTCACATTATAAATCGTTGTGAATTGTACCATATTTGTGAATCATTTGTAGCGATGTCAAGGCACAATGTTTTTGATGATTTGTATACTGGTCAAATGGCTTACAATGATACATAATATCCAAACAAATGACAGTGTACACAAAACAATATTCCATGCACAACAAGCATTTGAATACATAGATTTTGTAACCGTTTTAAATGTTCATATTTTTCCATTTCCTTTTGTAGCTGATGATACAATTGTTTCTTTTTTGAAATATCAACCATTTCTGTAGCTACACGCTGATTTTTATGCAAACAAGCGTAAACCGTTCCAGTTTGTCCATAGCCTAATGCATTTTGCATAAATGCAAGTTGTGAAATATTTAAAGTCGATCGTTGTTGTTTCTGCCCGAATTTGTAATCTGGATCATCCTTCTTCTTTCTGTCATTATCGTTATCATCGTCTTCGTTAGTTTCATCTGTATCATAATCGTTTGAATCAATATCATCATTCAACGGTGCTTTCAGACTTTTATTTTAGGTAGAGCGTATTCGTGCTCGATCCAAAATATAAGATAATGACCGAAATATAGTTGGATTTCTTTTCAAAATCAAACGGTTTTGTGATCTTTAAACCAGTTGCTGTTCATTGGACAAAATAGAATCGTGTATATGTTGTTATAAGTCCATAATTTAAATTGTTTGCTCACAAATACCCATTGATTTGGTATACAATATTGCATGTCTGTTGTTCCTGCCTATAATAATTGATAATGATATCGTTACCTTTTAAACTCCATTCGTTTTACATTCCATAAGTAAGACCGATTTTCGTGTGACCGGCCATCTAACTCTGCTACCATCGACGAATTCTGTAAAGTATTTTTATCATTTTGTTTCGTTTATAAATCGTAAACCAAATGATGCAGACAGCTGCAA